CAGCCCAGCCCCCAGCCACACTCTGGGTGGCCAAAAGGCCATGCCCGTCCATTCTGCAAAGAACGAATCTCGAGCCAGCAGTAGGCACTGACTGACCTCAGTGGAGCTGGCGATGTTGAGACATTCCTCCATACCCGGGATCTCCAGCTGCAGCACTTTCAGGTCTTTGCACTTGAGTGTGATTGTGCCCAAGGAACTTGCAATCCTGTGGGGAGATGGCAGACAGGAGCTGGGAGTCAGACCCTATGTCCTTGTCTCTTGGATCAACCACAATCCAAACCCCCAAAGTAGAGTCCAACTGCTGCATGTGTGAGCGTGGGTGCGTGTAAGCATAGGTACATGTATGTAAAAAGAGACGTGATAGACAAGAGGCAGGTGAGAACTTGAGTGTGCACGAGAACATACGTGTGTAAGAATATGTCTAGTGGCTTTATTGCCCAGGCTGCTGGAGAGGCGCGTCTGTGCTGGGCAGTTGCTTGCATTGTTTGCCTTCACGGCTGCCCTGGAGGATGGGTGAACGTGTGATTGTGGAAGCGTGGCTGTGTCTGTGCACGTGTAGGTGCAAATGTGGGAGCATGTGCTTGGGAGGGTCTGAACGGGAGGACGGTAAGGAGCGTGTGTTAGAGCGTGTTTTATTCCACCTGTCCCCAGGGTGTAAAGGACGGGGGTTTCCAGTCCCTCCGGAGCAGCTCAGGCACGTTGTCCGTCACCAGAGGAAAGCTGGCTCATCCCTGAAGAGTAAGATGGAAGCACCGTTCACTCTGGCTGCCCGGCCCCACCTTCTCCCCTGTCTTTCCCCGACTCCTGACAGAAGCAGTGAGGCCAGTGTCCTCCCCACCTCTCTGCGGAGAGGATACTAAAGCAAGCGTTGCAGACACAGGTCCCTGGTGCCCCAGCCCAGCGCAGCTGTCTGAGCGGGAAGCTGGTCACTGGTTAGTGCAAAGCCAGGCGTTTTAGGTGGGTTAGAGCCAATACAGGGGTAAAAGCCAAACCTGGTCTCTTGGTGGGAGCTGTTAGTCCTGGAGGTTTGGTACCAGCCTAGGTTCTGAACACTGAGTCACAGAAAAGAAGAGAGGTTATTGCCCAGGGCTTGAGCTGCACCATCTGGCTAGCCCCAAGGGCAGAGGAGAAAATGGAAAAAGAGGCGAAAGCCTGTTCTGTCCCCTAACCAGCTGCTCGCCCCATGCTGGACGCAGCGCTCGACTGGGACACGCAGCAACGACAGCTGAAGGCAGAGTTCAGTGTCTTGTCCCAGCCCCTGCTCTATGCTGGGGGCAGAGTTGGTGAGATCCACTCTGTTGTTCTCTGGGTCACCAGGGCGGACGGGCACCAAGGGAGGATAAGTGAATGGTGAACAATGTGGGTAGTGCCTGTAAACAAGAGACAGACCCCTAATTCAACACACGCCCCCCCCTCAGATCTGGGGGTGTGAGCCGCATGACTTCCACTGACGCCAATGGGCCCATCCCAGCTCCTACCACCCACAGACTCTCTCTCTCTCACTCAGAAGGTGAGACTGTGTCAGACACACACGCCTCCCCGGTGGGACATCATGGAGGGGGCAGGGGAGACTCACCTTTTCTCAACAGCGTCCACGTTCCGGATGAGAAGCCAAAGCTCCACCGTGCCCTGCTCCCCATGGCCCCCGGGCTGGGACGACAGCAGCAGGTGATGGCTGGTGATGCACAGCGTCCCCTTGATCGGCGGGAGCCCGGGGCATGAGAGCTGCACGTTCTCCACCTTCGCTGTCTTGATCAGCTCTGCAAACTCCATGGCGACGGCAGCGGTGCCGAGCTGAACCCTGGCAAAGAGTGCGGGGCACAGAGAGCCCCAAAGAATTGTCACGTGTCCTTCCCAAAGGGCTGACGGGCAACAGCGACCAGTAAAGTCCTCGGCCAGCACCTAAAATGGCCACAAAAGGAGACGGAGACTCAGCGTGAGATGGGGGACAGGCCGTGGGAGGCGCAGAGCATCCTCTCTTTGCCATATCCTTCCCACCCCCTCCTACAGGTTCATGCTTCCCTCTTTCCACTGTACTGTCTTAGGCCAATATAGGGTCATCCCCTGCAGTCTAGTCTCCATTGCTTTATTCGATCCCTTTTTAAACAATCCACATTTATCGCTGCTTAGGGCCCATGGAGCTTTCCATCTGCAAAGCACGGGTGGAGCATTACCTAATTCAGCCCTGGGTCCTATCCTGGGAGTGGGTCAGTGTCATTAGCTCCACTTTACAGATGGAGGCACGGAGAGGCGACGTGACTTACTCAAGGGCTCAGAGGGAGTCAGTGGCAGAGCCGCGGTTAGCACTTGGGGAGGAGTTCCCAGCACCCAGGCCTCTGCTCAGGCTGACGAACCACCCCTCTGTCTCTCCTTGCGTATGTCTACATGGATGGTGGTGCAGCCCTATGCGTCATCCCCAGGGTTATCATTTAAAGGTTATTATTGAAATCTGATATGTTTAGCTGCAGGTGAAAATCCAGCCCCTACCTTGCAAGAAGCTATTGTTATTATTTAGGATTTATAGTGCGGCAGCGTGGAGGAGCCTCAATGCGCTAGGAGCTGTACAAACCCAGCCCTGCCCCAAAGAGCTTCCAATCTATAATTCATCCTTGGAGGCTGAGGGGTTAGCTCCCTCCCTCTATTCCCAGGCACGCTGGGCTCCAGAATAGACCCCTTTCTAAAACCAGAAACATCTTCAGAGCTGCTCCGCTTGGCCAGGCTCGGTACAGGGACATTAGACAGAACCTGCTCAAACCCCCTTCGCCCCTAAGTAAGGGGGGGAAGCAGGGATGCCTTCCCCATCTTGGGGAACAGGCTTCTCTTTTGGAATAAGCAGCAGCAGGAAGCAAGTGATTAATACCCCCCAACATCTGGCCCCCAGCAACGGCCACTGCCCTTACCTGTTTCTGGAATGGCAACCCTCAGGCTGCAGTCAGAGAGCTGGGTCATCAGAGGGGGCCGATCCTGCTCAAGGGGAGCTTGAGCCCAAACCTCTAGTGCTGGGATCACTGCCGCAAAGGAATTCTTTGGCTGGAAAAGCCATGCCCCAGCGAACAGGGGCGCCCGGGGGCTGGCAGCAGGATATGCGCCACAGAGATGGGCACAGTGGCTTCTGCAGCAGGCATGCAATACCTTGCGGCGGCAGCTGCTTCTGAGAAGCTGGTGATAAGCATGTTCTGATGCAGGGGTTGTGAAACACAGCAACAGGAACTGAGCAGGCTGCCGTGTGGGTGAGGCCGAGAAGCAGAGAGGGAGGATGTCGGGTTTAAGGTGGCCTGGCTCCAGTTTTTGATTTAGTTTCTCCCTGGTGTGAGGCTTGTGCCCATGAAATGAGCCCAGGCTTGGGTCTCGCAGGCCCTGCAGGGACCCAAGAGCTTTGCCTTTGAATCACTGCGGGGGGCTTTTCCCAGGCTCAGGGTCGTGATGGACAGGTAGGGGGGAAAAGAATCCAGTCTGGAGATGATGGGGTCCCCTCCCTCCTGGGGACTGGGGAGGATGGGGCAGCAGAGGAAGTAAAGTTCTGGGGATACTAGGGTGACAGAGGGCCTCAATTTGGGGGAGGTGGGGGAGACAAGGGGAACCTGCCCGTTGGAGGCACAGGGCTCCTAGCTTCGGGCACTTTGGGAGGGCTGAAGAATTGAATCTGTGGAAAGGGGACAGAGTCTCGATCCCTCAGCCGGGGAGGGAGTTGGGGAGATCGAGGGCATTCTGGTCAGAGGGTGCTAGAGACAGGCCGGGGGGGAGGGTATACAGCTGGCTGATAGAAATATGCCCGGTGAGTCGTGACTAGTAAACAATTCCCCCCCGGACACTGTAGGCTTCTTTACCTATCCTCAGTGCCACCTTTTCTGTTACCCAGGGCCCCTGCCCAGACCCAGCTCTGCAGTCTCTGTTACCCAGAATCCCCCTGGCCCACTGCCTGCAACTAGTGACACAATCTCTATTACCCAGAATCCCCCAGGCCCACTGCCTGGAACCAGCGCCAGAATCTCTATTACCCAGAAGCCTCAAGGGCCCCTGCCCAGACCCAGCACCACATTCCCTGTTCCCCATATACCCCATGTTTCCTTCTCTGCCCCTGGCTAAGCATTTTTTTACCTGTCACCCTGTGCTGAATGGTCCTTGTTTTTCTGTATGGGGTGTGTGTAGGGATGGGAAATGCTGCCTTCTGCCTCTGCACTGCAATCTCCTTAGGTTGTCCATTCTCTCCAGGGCCCCTGGGTTCCACCTTAAATGCAGCACAGCTGTGGAGAAGCAAAAAAGCCACTGGTTAAAGTGACCTGGCCAGAAGCCCTGAGCACGGCTGGGAGGCGGGTGACCAATGAGAGCCCTCAAAGGGCGGGATTTATTAGCAGAATTGTAGGTCTAGGAGGCCCTATAGCTGAGATCCTGGGGAGAGACCCCTCCCAGGGGGCACAGACTAGAGCAAACCCACACACCCCAGCTTGGCCTTCCCTCTGAAGGTATCACAAAGGGGTGCGTGGCCGACTCAGCATGGCCAAACGTGACCCGCAGGGGAGATACTGTGAGATGCCACGTGCCCATTCAGATCTCACATGGGATATCAGCCATGTGGCTACGGGTGCAGAACAGCGTCATGCTGCCTGCAGGGGTCCTTTGCTGTTCTTCCCTCGCATGGCCGAGGGATTTCTCAGGGACTCTGAACAGAACCCCCCGCTGCAGTAAACTCCAATGTTTCTTGGGGACTCCACACCAGCCCCTCCATGCCAGGCCTCTCCTTCCTCTAACCTCGCCTCTCCTGCACGATCTGCACCGTATGATCCGCCCTGGGCGCTGTAGAAGTGCCTGGGGGTGGGGCAGGAAAAGCCTTGAACAGATCTGAGCTTTTTTCTTTTTCTTTCTTTCTTTTTTTCTTTTTTCTTTTTTTTTTTTTTTTGGCTCTTTAGCAGCCCTGAATCTCAAGTGACCTTTCAGCCTCCCTTGATCTCGGAGCTGGGTGGAGAAGCAGTTTCATTTCTGTCCCGATAATAGACCGGGAAGGGAAGGCGCGTCGTGGGATAAATTACTTTTCGCTCCTACAGTCCTTTATGTCCCCATTGAAACTTCCTTTCAAAGAACAGGGTGTCTCCTCCCAGCTGGAGACAATAATCTATTTTTTTTTTTAAAACACCTCCCCAGGCCTCCAGGCAATTAAAGTTCCTGCTCGTTTATAATCATCACCGAGTTCCAAGGCTTTATTGTTCATTCCAGAAATAAATACCGGTAGTTCTCCTGCTCACACGCACACACGCAGAGCGAGCCAGCTCTGCCACAGGCAAACGCTCCTCTCTCTTGCACCTGGCAAGCACAACCATGTCCTTCAGCCACCTGAAGTTCAAGGAGCTAGGGGAAGAGGAGTCGAACTCAGACAAGGAGAACCTGGACAGCGTGAAGGCCCTGACGGCCAAGCTGAAGCTGCAGACTAGGAGGCCTTCCTACTTGGAATGGAAGGCCCACGTGCAGAGCCAGTCCTGGAGGAATGGGGTCACGGAGGGAGCCATCAGCTCGCTGAATGAAGAGCAGGGCGGAGAGGTGTTTCTGGAGGGGACTCAAGCCGACCTGCCGTCCAGGAGCATCTGTGGGTTTGCCACCATGGACGATGCCCTGGAGTGGCTCAGAAAGGAGCTGGTGAGTAGCTTTGTTGGGAGCACGGCCTCTGTGGGAGAAGAGCAAGGGACAGAGAAGGCAAGAGATCTTAAACCATTATCCCAGGCCCCGCAGCAGTAGGGCTCCTGGGCTGCGGAGCTCAGCTTGACATCCTCACATATCTCGGGGTTGTCTCTGGTGGTGTTTGTCTCTGTCCGTGTGTCTCGGTGTGGTGTGTGTCTCTGTCTGTCCATGTGTCTCTGTGTGTTTGCATGTTTCGGGGTTGTCTCTGGTGGTGTGTGTCTCTGTCTGTGTGTCTCTGGTGGTGTGTGTCTCTGTCCGTGTGTCTCTGTGTGTTCCCATGTCTCGGAGTTGTCTCTGGCGGTGTGTGTCTCTGTCTGTCTGTGTGTCTCTGTGTGTTCCCATGTCTCGGGGTTATCTCTGGCGGTGTGTCTCTGTCTGTCCGTGTGTGTCTATCTGCGTGTCTCCATAGGACTGTCTACACAGCAAACCGCAACCTGCAGCAACGACTCTCAGAGCCCCGGTCACACAGCTCAGGCTACCGCGCTAAAAATAGCTGTGCAGAGAGTGCAGCCTGGGCTGGAGCTTGGGCTCTTAATCCCCCCGCCCCCCCCCCCCCCGAGTCTTCAAAGCCTGAGCTCCAGCCCATGCCACAACGTCTACACGGCTCCTCTTAGCATGGCGACCCGACCCTTGCAAGCCTGGACCCGGACTCTGAGACGCGTTGCCGCAGGTTGCCACTCGACATACCTCCCGTGTCCGTACCCCTGTCTGTGTGTCTCCGCGTGTCCGTGGCTCTGCATTAGGGCTGTTCTCTGGCTCAGTGATGGGGTGACCCGTGCTCCGGCTGGGCCCCTAAAGGCTCCCCTTTCCCTCCTCTGCACAGCAGGAGATGCAGGCTGTGGATCACCAGCTGGCGCGGCAGCTGATGCGGCTGCGGGGGCAGATTCACCAGCTGAAGGTGGAGCAGGTGTGCCACCAGCACAAGGAGATGCTGGACAATGCCACCTTTGGCCTGGAGGACTGTGAGGAGGACACAGACCTGCTCTGCAACATTCCTCCCAAGGCCGCCTTCTTGCTCTCCACGCCACTCAAGCACATTGGCGTCACACGCATGAACATCAACTCCCGGCGCTTCTCCCTCTGCTGAGGGCCCTGGCCTCCTGCCCAGGGCTGTTTGGGCAGGGCACCTCTTCACGGCAGGGAGCATTAGCAGGGACCCCTCGCCGCGCCCCAAACCTGGCCCATGTGCATGCGCGTACCTAGAAGCTCAGGCTGAAGGCTCAGGTCCTGAGCTGGTGGGTCGGGTTATATACAGGCGTAGTGTTCAGCCCAGTTACGGTGGCCGAGGGAAGTGGTGAGTGTACAGCGTATTCCCCCCTCCCTGATGACTGGTGTTGCAGGTCTGTGGGCTAGCAGGGCTGCCACCTCCCGTCAGATGCCGCAGCCTGCCACCCGACCCTCTCCTGCCATTCACAGCTGCCTCTGGCCAGTCCCTGCAGCGTCCCGCGCTGGATACCGCAGCCAGCTAGAACCAAACCTGACCGAACCGAGGCTGGGCTAACGTGCTGCATGGATTGCCTGGCACCAGAGATGCAGAGACCTGCCAAGTCTGCAGTGCTGAGCCCCCCAGGCCCAGGTGGAGCTCAGCGCGGCCCCTTGAGGAACCGGAGCCTGTGACTGGTTTCAGTCCCCGCAGCAGCCATGCTACCCCTTCTGGGCCTGCCTTGCAAAGACAGGTGGGTGGGCACCGTGGAGCCCACATACCCCACCCCTCCAACGCCACTAGCATAGCTCTGCCCAGGGGCCAGTCCCTCCTCAGCCAGCTCTGTCCTAGCTTAGGAAGCAGCGTCTGTAACGCACAGCGCTATGCACATACGTTAACCCCGGAGTCACACTTCCCTAGCGCTGCGGGGCCAGAGTTGCACAGGCGGCAGTGGCAGGTGCTGGCAGAGAGGGGGCAGGGTTTGGTGAGCAGCTCGGTGAATTCTCCCCAGCCTGTGAGCCTCATGGCTCAGCTGGGTGAGGGAGAGGGGGCGGTCTAAGGCGTCTGTGATGCACGTCACACTGCTGGGTCCCATTCGCTGCTGCAGAAAACCCAAGAAAAAGTTTCCGTGCAGAAATAAAAGACGGCATCTGCAAAGGTGTCCTTGTTTCCTTCTGTCTCTCACACACAGTGCGGCCTGGCTCTATCCCCAGACACATGTCTGATCAGGGACACGCACACAGTCAGCTCCCTTCGACCTGCAGACACATCTATGATTCATACATTCATAGATTCTGGAACACTGACAAACGGGGCCTCCTCACTCAGACCCACGCACCCATCCACCCACAGACAGAAACACACAGGCCAGGTGGAAACACACAATGAGGGAGAACTGCCTTGACTCTCAGCCTCTGACCAGCCATCTCTTCCGATTCGGGCTGCTCAGTCTATCCATCCTTGACCGTGCTGGCAAGTGGTTTTGCGCCCTCGCCCGTCCCCCTTCAACGGCGCTGTTTTGGGCAGCCTTCTAACGAGCGGTGAGAACCTTGGGTTTGTCGCTCTCACTTCCGCTGGGTGTTGTTGTTTCCACTCGGTTTAGCTGAGGCCTCAGATGAGGCAGGCGCCCACTTCACAGTGAACCTATGAGCAGCCCTGCCTAGCCAGGTGCCTTTTCTCCTCTATGTGCAAATAGGCATGTTGGTTGTGCTCCATGTTTCACCTTCTTGCTGTCTCCTCATGCGATCATCCCTGAAGACACTTGCAGTTTTCCCCTGGAACTTTTTACAGGAGTGTCTGGAATCTCCGGGAGGGTCATTTTCAGGGGAACGTTAGTTTTTACAGTCACAATGGATAAAAAATTTGCACTCATCCAAGGATCTCAGAGCACTTTACAAATTCTATTCAAACCAGCTGAGATTGGTCAGTGTCATTCTGCCTATTTTAGATATGGGGAGAATGAGGCACAGAGATAGGGCATGACTTGCTCCAAAGACACGCAGCAAACCAGTGACAGAGCTGGGAAGAGAATTTAGGAGCTGGTCCTCTTCTCAAACCATTAAACTACCCCCTCTTCCCAGAGCCAGGAATTGAAACCAGGAGTCTTGTCTCCAAGTGCCCCGCTCAAAACATAACAGCACATTACCTCTGTTAGAAGCAAGAGCTCGGAGTTGCACTGAACGATCCCATTAAGTGATCATTATACTCACAATATTCAACAGAAATAAAGGAAGATTTCCTGAACTGAATAATAATTAGAGCCAGTTGACATTTTTAATACAATAAGTTTTTTTTTTAATTAAAATGTTGGGTTGTTCTTTTTAAATCTTTTGCAAAAAAAATGGTTAATGTTAGTGACATTTTTAGTTTTATGTGAGAGCCTAGTGTTGACAGTTTTTCTCAAAATTGTTATCAGTAAATAAAAAATGTTGATCACCATTTTGCTAACCTTTTCAGTAATGTTTTCCATTTAAAAAAAAAAATCAGGACAAGTTCTGAAAAAGTGGGTCCATTTCAAACCCTTCCAAAACTAAACAGAAAAACACACGGAAAACTTGAAATTTTTGCAAAACTACTGTTTCATTTTTTGACCGGCAATAAATAATAATAATGAATTGGCATCAGCTGTTTTTACAGCACCTTTTGTTCTGAAAGCTCCTAAAGCCCTTTGCAAACCATATCCAAGAGGAGAGCACTCCAAGCACCACTGAATTGCAGCCATCTTTGGGGTGAGGCCAGGACTTCAGGCAGTGCTTTGAAAAAACACAGCGACATTACACAATACTTTAGGACAGGAAGTCAAGATCTTGTCACACTTTCAGGGGAAATTAGGGCTGCAGAATGTAATTATATCAGCTGGAATCTGGCCAGAGCTCAATGTTAGCATCTCTGCTGGGTAAGAGAGCTTAACTGTAGAGGTTTAAGCATTTGCTCTTGTCCTGGCTCTTGTGAACATCTTCGATTTCCCTCCATCGCTTTGCACTATGCTCTCCAGGGATTCTCTCCAGGGACAGAGTCGCAACCCAGGATATCCTGAGATCCTCATGCACAGTGCAGTCAATTCCAACACACCAAATTAGTGGCAGTTGAATTACCAGCATGAGGAACGGAAGCTGCCAGGAGCCTGCGCTGTGATGAGGCTGGAGATGGCTCATTAGTGCTGTTACAAGTGTAGTTGGAAATGTCTCTGTGCTGGGCTTGGGCTATCTGCCCTGCACCCAGGCAACAAGCCCCTCTTCAAACTGCTCTGCCACAGATTCAGCTTCCTGTCTTCCCCTCCCCCTGCCCAGCGCAGGCTGTTCATACCTGTGGCTTCACATTTGATCTAACAAGCCAAGACAATAGCTTTGCGGTTCCTCTGCTGTCTCCAGCAACCGAACGCGCAGGTCTGGTGGAGAGGGGCTGAAAGTGAAGCTTTATGACTTCGCTCCTCTTTGTCTGGATGGGAGAGAAAGAATCAAAGCCCTTGTTTTCTTCCAGAGACTCTCTCACTCCAGCTTGGTTAATGGTGTTGCTGGATGCCGGGGTTTATGTCACCGGGGCTTGCGGCAAGGCAGTGCGGTCCAGTGGCTGGGGCATTGGCCTGTGACTTTGCCGAGCCGTGTTCGCGTCATGCCTGGGACCCTGTGCAGGTCACTTCCCCTCTGGTCCCACCCCCGGCTCTTTGTCTATGTAGCGTGTAAGCACGTCATGGCAGGGACTGTCACTTGCTAGGTGTATGTACAGCACCAAGCACAATGGGACCACTGGGGCTACTGTGAAAAAAAGGATCATTGTGAGGAGTAGAGCCGCTGGTCTGAAATAAGAGGAACAAAGGCTCCACCTAAGGTTTAACTCCACCAGCCTAGCAAGTGTTAAGGCTGCCCGGCCTTATCTACGCTGGCCTTTCAGAAGGCATTAGCAAACACAACACTCCTTTAAATAGATAAACCCTTTCAGCTGCGCTCTCTCTCTCTCTCTGCCTGGCCTAGTCACCACTAAGAAATGGGCTTCAATTCTCCTGGAGTATTTCCCAGGGCCCTCGGGGCTTCAGCCCCTGGGTCAGGATTGTGACGCGCTCAGATATGATGGGGATGGGGACCATGTAGACCCCAGGGGCGGCGAGTTGTATGGGCCCGTGGTGCCCAGGCTCCAGCAAATTCAGGGCCCAGGGGGTCCAGCTCCACTAATGTTCGGGGCCGGGTCTCTCCCCCCGGCCCCGCCTGCTGCCCCCGTGCGCCCCCTCCCCCGAGTGTCCTTGCCTGCCCTGGGCCACGGGCGGGTGCCCCCTGCAGCTCCACGCTGCGTTCCCTCCTCGCCGGCCGCTGCCAGCTATAAGGGTCGGTGCCGGGGGCAGGCTGAGGCGGCTGCTGTGCCTGTGGAGGGAGGAGGCGCATGGCAGCCTCCCCCCCACCCCAGCAGGCGACTCTGAGGGGGGGGCCCTATCCTGGCTGGACCTCCAGAGCAGCAGCCTGGGGAGGCTTGGGTGAGTGTTGTGCCCAGGGAGAGCCCCCCCTCTCCTGGAGCTTACTGCTGCTGGTGGGGAGAGGGACGGGGGGAGTCCTCCTCCCTGGCCCCCAACACTGGGAGAGCCTGCCTGCTGCACCCCAAACTCTTCATCCCTGGCCCAGCCCCATGCACCGCACCCCCTCTCACACCCCAACCCTCTGTCCCAGCCCAGAGCCCGCACCCAGCACCCAAATCCCTCCTGCACCCAGACTCCCTCCCAGAGCTGCACCCCTCCTGCACCCAAACTCTCTCCCAGAGCCTGCACCCCAACCCCCCTCCTGCACCCCAATCCCCGCCGTAGCCCAGAGCCTGCACCCAGCACCCAAACCCCTCCTGCACCCAGACTCCCTCCCAGAGCTGCACCC